TTATTTGTTATAGACATGTTAACACCCGGTAAAAAATGCTCCAAAGACTACCGGCATGCACAACCAACATTTCACAATATGCATGCCAGAATTCTCGGATTTCACAACACATGATTTTTTGCATGACGCATGCGTTTCACAGGGGTGACGGATGCGGTGTTTGATCTTTGGGAGCTGACACTTGTGCCGACTTGGGCTTTAAATTTGACACACCGGGACGCCGGCCAAGACAGGGACGCGTGTGTCATGGGTTAAACCGATGAGACGTACGGACGGAACATAACCGGTGCCAGACTCTTCCGGTGAAGCGTCAAACAATGTGTTGGCTTTGGCTTCGTAAAGCAACTAGGAACCAAACTAAGCATTAGGCTCCAATTGAGCCGAAGATGAGAGAAGCTCCGTTGGAATAACTGCATGATTCAAAAGTGAAATGAAACAAGGATAGCGACTTGAGTTTCGTAGCTCAGTGAGCGCGATGTTACGCCGCTGCCACCGTGGCTTGCAGAAAAGAACGCTGGAAGCTCCCCCCCCCCCCTTTCGTCGTGAATCTTTTCAAAACCTTTTAACTGAAAACGGTGTGCATTCTATGATTTGAAATTCCCGATAAACAGCACGCTGCCTCACCCGTAAAGACTCGGGAGGCGCGGAGAGCCGAGCGAATGGTCAGCATCGCATCGACATTAGCATCCCATCAGCATCGCATCGACATCAGCATCCCATCAGCATCGCACCCCATTCGGATAAAGCAGCGGGGTGATGAAACCTTCTAGGTTTCAAGAAGTGGGGAAATGCACAAGAAGCTAAGTATCTCTGGCGCACGCAGATAAAAAACGAACTCACAAAACCGGTCTAAGGGGGGAGGGAGTGCGATATCTACAAGTCGCGCCTTTGGGATGAAATAGACAGATGAAATAGACGCGAAGCTTCGGCCCTTTTTCACATCCGCACTGATGTAAAGATTCTCACGAGAAAACATTGGCAGAACCGAAGACGCGACATGGTTATGATTGCGGGACAGAGCAAGTGCACTTGCGGGGTGCATTTTAACTCGGGTACCAGATCAAAAGGCAATTTGTCGTGCGATGCCACCCGTACCCTAGCCCTCGGCATGCCCTCACCCATCTGTCAGCAGAACGCAGCACACTTCAGACGAAAAGTACCCAACGAACTCCCGCGCAGAATCGCACGGCCCTGCGCAAGCGTATCGCGCAGCCATGGTGGTGAACCTTCAGAGGAAGTGTCACGACCTTTGGTGAGCTGGCTCGCGCGGAGGTTGTGATTTGCCGGCCTCAAATCCAGCCCTAATTGTTTCACTGGTTAGTTTGCAGCAAGTACAACGAATGTTTCTCAATCGAGAAAACGCTTGCCATGCTCAGCCACTCGGACCGACTAGCATTGCCAATTGTTCCGTGCCGAATAGTTTGCACGTCTTCCGGTATGCTGAATGTTGTTAATTTTTTCATGGCATGGATGTACTAAAAACACTACCGTAGTGCCAGTGCAAGCATGCAGTGTATTTACATATGATGTGCTTTCTTATGACATGTTCATGAAATTCCCCGTTCAGCGCCGTGTCAAGCGTTCAAGTCACAAGTCCTTTGCATAATTCCATTTTACATAAATGATAACTTGCCGGCAAGGCCTGGCCGCCTGCATTGACGTAGGCGGGCAATTTGAGTCTGGCGATAGCTGGACGAGCTCGCAGTATAGCTGTCTCCTGGCTTTGCACCCCAATGCCCCTGATTGCGATGCCACTGTTTGCAATCACTGTTGGAAAACTGCGATACTGGAGGCCGTATGAATAAGTTTATCACGTGACAAGCCATCTCTCACGTCAAATATGGTCACCACATGACTTTTGAATTAGAAACAGTTCTAGGAGTCGTTGCCAAATAGAGCTCAGAGAAAAGGCTGCATTGATACTGCAGTTTCATCATCCAGCATTATCCACCGCGCTCGGCTGGCATCAGGGGTTGACTTCGTGCCAGTCATGACATTTTTCTGCATCGCGCGTCCCACGTAAAAGACCTTCAGAAGTATAGCCTACCTAGATACGTGCAGCGGCACGACAGCAGGACGTAATGCGCAATAATAACACTGGGATTTGTCCGACCATCAGTTCACAACAGATGAGGCCTTTTTTGAACATCTCCCCCGCTGCCGCTACTGACATTTTTGTGCTGGCGCTGTCGTGCTGGTTCCGGCACGGCGGTAAAAAAGAGCGGTGGCAGGCCGCTGTTTCCTGCCAGCAGCGCCGTGGGCTTCCGCGACGCGCTATCAACTCGATTTATTCATGTGTACCGGGTTGGTTACACCCTACCAGGAAAACATTACAGTAATGTCACGGGTTTAGGACTAGACTTTCCTTATGGTAGTCATTCCCCCATTCATGGATCGAGCGCATCCGCCCTCCGCTGTGGTGCAGCTTGAAAATCCAGTTTTGAGCAAGCGTGAACGGTGCCTCGAACCAGCCCAAATATGTAACAGCAGAGGAGACGAAGGAGGGATCCCTGTTCTGTCCGGGTGCTGTTCGGCACACTTGCTTGTGACCTCGTATCCGCAGTCATGGAAGCCGTATGACTGTAATCACCTGACAACGGAGAGTTACCACATTACGTAGCAAAAGTTGCCTTGTTTCAAATGTGGTCATGCTTCCCGACAATTATATGATTCGTTGAACGCATGCTGGGGGCTCAAAGAGCTTACCGAAGCAGCTCTTCTTATACGACCACTATTCAACAATTAGGCTCATATGACATGAGATGAGTGCGATGCCTGAACCTTGACAGGTTATTTCTGTAGCACCCGCCGATGCGCGGGAGCCAAACAGAGATGTGTTTTGCCCTTTCGCCGCCTAGAGACATTCTTCCTTAATATTATGATTTTGGAAGGTCTGTTAATGACATGAATTGATCTACACGATGTGCATACTTCAAGGGAGCTTCAAGTTGGTTTACTTTCACCAGGAAAGCAGGCCCACAGAGCCCAACATTTCTGTTTTTTTGTCAGTTGTACCAACCGATTAATAAAAATACAATTCGTGAAATAGATAGAGGCTTGTTAATCGATTATATGCATGGCTTTAAAACTGGGACTAAGGGACAAATTTCTCCTAATTGTTCGTAAATGGATATATTTATCTCAAATATTGACCGTATACCGCACCTTTTGACGTATTTCCATTCCAAATGTCATTGTCGGGTCAGATTGATCCTCCAGATTCCGGTTTGATTCCGCCCATTTTGAGCTGCCACTCCTGACTCAGAAACATGCCCACGGCTCCAAATTTTAGCAGGCTCGTGGGTAGAGAAATTTTCTAGCTTAAAAGTACTCCAAGGTGCCTATGTCATATTAATATATTTGAATGCATAGCGCGTTGATATGCATTATACATTTGATCGTGAGGACGGCAATCGCTATCATTTATGTAAGTCGTCAACGTTTCGATGCATCGCATATCATCAGAAGGCTTATGATAATCTATACATAATACAGCTGTGTGTATCATCGGAAACCAAATGATGGCGACTGCTGTCTTCGCTACCAAATTTTTACTGCTCCTTCCTGTCTCAGGATTTTCTACATATTACGCCAGATCTCATACCTTTTGATAGATCATGGAATGAATGTGAAACATGTCAAAGTCGTTGGGAATCTGTACTGCACCTCTCAGCCGTTGACGCTGGTTGCACACGATAGGAAATCTATTGAATACTTTCAACGCTTTCTGACTTACTACAGAGCCCTAACGCGTTCACGACGTTTAAGCCATTTAAAATGGAGGCCAGCGTTGGTGTACCAATGCATTGAACGTAGCTCTTGATCTGAACCAAAACATATCGACGCGCATTTATGGTTCCGTTATCCGAATGGCGCATGGCATTGAGCATGGCGGCAGAGTCCATCGATAAGCATTCCTATGTTTAAGAGAGGTACGGTCAAAAGTAGACACGCGTTTCATGTTATGATACAGGTAGGTTCGAACCAGCAGCAGAAGCTTTTCAACGATGCAAACTGGGAGTGTTTTCACGTCGCCGTCCCCGGAAGCAGATGCCCCCTTCTACTTATCAGATGCATTGTATGCATTCATATGAGCGTGAATAGATGCTGGGAAATAAAACTTTAAGGTAAACACGTAAGACAAACAAATGAAAGCATGCCGCGTTTTATTACGTCACCCAGCAATTTTGCATGCCTACAGGATGAATTATTAGTCTTTTCGACGACTTTTGTTTCCCCCCACCCCCATCGTTGAGTCCTGCATACCCCAGGCCGCAAAGCTACAGCGTTGCTCGTCCACTGCCTTCCGTTCATTCGGCGGTATTGCCTGCTCTACCGGCACGGGTGTACAGTTTATGGGCCTTAGGAGGCGGTGTCCGCACCTGAAATAGGCGGGCGCAGCGGCGCGGACGGCGTCGCGGCCACCGCCAAATGGCAGGTGCCGGCGGCGACGGCGGCCTAGTCGGCTGCCAGAGGTCGTCGGAGCACCGCCGGCGCGCGCCGACGCGATCGTCGAGCACGACACGGCGGCGAGGCCGAGAGCGACCGTCCGACGGCCGACTCCGAGGCGGGGTGGACGGAGCAGGAGTGTGGGACGCGGAGGAGGTGAGGCGGACGGGCGACCGCCAGAGGTCATCCTTGACCGGCTCTCCGGACCGTCATCTGCCCCTCTTCGATCCTCCGAGGACTTCACAGACCGTCCGCTGACCCCCCCCCCGACCGTCAGTTGATCCTCCTCGATCGTCCACTGATCCTCCCTGACCGTCTGTTGACCCCCCTCGACCGTCGGCTGACCCCCCTCGACCGTCCGCTGACCCTCCTAGACCGTCCGCTGACCCCCCTCGACCGTCAGCTGACCCTCCTCGAGTCACTCGAGGTCGGACCCCAGCTGCTCTAGCTCCGCCGATCGGCGCCGTCTAAGCCCTCCCCCCCCCCCCCCCCATAGCGGCAGCGCCACTGCAGCTTGCCCGTCCCAGAGCGGCTCGGGCGCCTCGAACCGGAGCGGCGGCGTCGGCTTTCCGGCGCGGGCGGCGCCGGCTCTGCGGCGCGGTCGGTGTCGGCTGCGTGCCATGTTGCCGGCCGGGGATAATGTCCGAATGCGATCCGGATGAGCGGCGCCGCGCGACAGCCGTGAGCAGCGCGGTCGGGCAGACGTCGCGCCGTCGGGGCTCGATGCGACAGCGGCGCGCCGCGGCACCCCGGGCAGCCCCTCCGACCTCGCCGCCAGCCGAGCCGCGCGCCGGTCGCCACCATGCTGGACATCTTTCGCGGCCTCAAGAGCTTCATCAAAGTCAGTCACGTGCAGACCGACTCGGCCGTGTTCAGGATCCACTACTCGGTGACGGTGCTAATCCTGCTGGCGTTCTCGCTGATCGTCACAACGAGGCAGTATGTCGGCAACCCCATCGACTGCATCCACTCCAAGGACATTCCAGAGGACGTGGTCAACACGTTTTGTTGGATCCACACCACGTACCACGTGCCGTCCGCCTTCCACCTCAAGATGGCCAAGAGGCCCGGCGAGACGGGGGAGGTGGTGTACCCCGGCATCGGGAAGCCGCAGCATGACGGCGACATCAAGTACATCAAGTACTACCAGTGGGTGTGCTTCTGCTTGTTTTTCCAGGTGAGTCCTCGTCGGCGCATTTGGTAACACATTAGTTAACTGGAGATCAGGTGTTGCACAGCACGTTGCACCTCAACAGCGACATGCTTTCTGCTTTCGCTAAAGAAAGACCAGTAACCACGCTGAAGAGCAGGAACCTTGCACGGTACAGCATGGTTCTCGCCTTCCTCGTGTTCCAGTCAGACCATGCGTTGCAAACACCTCGGAACGCATTGTCTGAAAACGGCCGTAATCTCGCATAGTCTCATACGGAACCATGTCTCAGCCAATGTTCTGTCTCAGTGTTAACTTCTACTGATGATGGAACCCCGTATCGAATCTTAGGTAAAGCCTTTCAAGGTACTGGACATGCGTGTTCATGATTGAATTGACACGATGCTGTATAATTTTGACAGAGAACGTGATAACCATTCTGTTCTCTGGAACTGGCCATAATTCTGAAATGGTCATAGTGTGAGACCCCACGGGGCTTCAGAACGTATGGTCAAATTTGAAGCAGGCTAATGAATCTAGTATGCGAATTTATGCACCACAGTTTGTAATACAGTGTTTTCTACACGCTGGACGTTAACTATCTCATCATATCATGGCTTGAAATGTGATATGGAACGACCATTGCCGATGAGAAAACACAATTCATTAAAAAATATTCGCAATGACCATAAGGCAAGTACGCACGGACCTGTCTGCACCCCAGCTGCTGGCGTTGTTATTGATAGGTCACACACACAAATGACGCGACGACCTTGACGGAGGCTTGTTAAAAGGTGATCAGGCTAAAGTAATGCCTGAATCTGAAACTGAAAACGGCTGAAAACAGCTGAATCAACGAAATCGGGTAATAGATATAATCATATATGCACTCCTGTCTCGGAAATAAAGGGTCGATTTCCATTCTATTAGTGGATTTCTTGCGAAGAGGAACACGGTTCAGCCACCCATGCAATATTGATGTTTTATCGTTGTATGCCTTTTTAACATTAAAGATACTTCACGAATTGCGTAATGATCTTAGCATCGTTGCAAAACGCCAAGGAAGTAGTGCACAAATGAGCTCTGTCGCTGCAAGAGGAAGTACACCTAAAGGGGACGAACATTCCATGAAGCACTTCATAACAGATTCTCAGCGATCCTCTGCGTTTGAAATAGCTAACAGTTGAATAATTATGGTATGGTGGACGCCCAGAATCATACCACCTTGGGAAGATGCCACCAAACCATTTTATGCCGGAATATATTTTAAAATCCATCATGGTGGCATCAGGGTGCCGGTGCCGGTTAGCGCGTCTGCGTTAACCACTGCGCGTCTGGGAAACCAGAGGTACGGGGTTCGATTCTCCGTGGTGCCCGCCCTTCCTGCCAGGGTGAGAGGCAGGCGACGCCATATGGCCTTAGCAGCTGAGTGCGTCATAAAGCCCCAATGTCACACACACGCACACACACACATGGTGGCACCACACCTCACAAGCACGGTTCAGTTCGTTATTCTGATTCATTGCTTTGTTTGCATTCAATTCAGCCCCGTTGGTTGTTTTATTGCCATGCTGAACAGTTAATCGCAAATATTTGCAACAAAAAGTTGGAAGAAATATACACTTTATTTTTTTAACAAATCCTGCTTACTGCTCCGTTTAAACACCGCCCAATTGAACCATTATTCTGAAAAGCATAGGTATTGGAGTGAAACTTCGATCCAGGAATCGTCAAAGGATGATGCATAGAGCAAAGTGTCAAAAGCATATGCCGTGGGAGTGTTCACGCATACATGCATAGATGCCAATGTAGGCACTCTGACTTCGGCAATACGGCAAGTAAAGTACTTTGTGGGATGCGTGTTTTCCAAACGAATATTGTCCATTTCTGCAATAAAGGCAGTAATTCGAAATTAGCGTTGAAGCGCACTTGTGCTTTAACGTGCGCTTCATACACTGAAGCCTGATGGCCGGGTACGGCACTCCAAAACAAGAGAAGTCACGCCTGCACAGCAGGACCTAGGTGTGGTGCACGCTCTCAAAACCCATTAAGTCTGGTTGTACACAGATCTGAAATGGTATGACGAAAATATGTTCAGGCCATAATGCCTGTGAATGACGAGTCTACAAAAGTCGTAGTCGGTGACGTAATCACACCATTGGGTTTTAAGAAAGACTGATACAGAGCAAGCTACGTGATATTGCCAGTTTTGGGTGGAGTTTCCGTGTTGCAAAAACGTTTGCTCGCCACGCTTGTAATAGCTTTGTTAAGTTTTGCTTATCGCGCGAGGTCGCACGCTATTGTCGCAAATATGGCAGGACTTTATCGCCTAAATATACATATTGGCATATTCCCGTATAAACTACATCTTAGGAACATGTCTCACATTCTGCCGCAGCGTTCGATAAAGTCAGGCGATCAAAAACTTTGAAGAGGCAATGTTTTCATTATTTTGTAGCTGCATTTTGTGCTTAAAGTGCTTCCTAGGTTTTGAATGTTGGATTAAATTTAGGAATTGCTTGGCGTTTTAAACACGACCTCTCTTTTAAAACTAAACCATGTCATTGCCTGATGCCTCCGTTATAGTTACTGGGTACAATCCTTCTCATCTTTGTTCATGAGTCAGCCTTAGACTCGCAATCAGAAGCACAAATATACTTCAGCGAAGGTTGTAATTGATAAACCTCAACTAAGACAATTATAAGTTGTAGGATAAGGTTCTCAATGCTACCAGATGCCAAGCAGTCGTAACATTAGCTGCTTTGCATTCTGCCCTCAACTGACCTTGCCTTCATGTCACGTATAAATGTTGTGGCTGAGGCTCATGCTGATGGTAGCGTCAAGTCTAATTACTCCAAGCCGTAGCATCAGTGTTACGGCTAAGCTAAGAAGAAAGTATTAATAAGTTGCCTTCCCTTCCATAAGGCCTATACGAAAAGATGCATCGTCTAATTGCCGGAGTGCAGGAGCGAACGTCTGTCAAATTATTTAATAGATAGCATGATTCAGAAGATGCCGCGAATTCATATCTAGTAACTCTTAACTAAACCTTTAGAGGGGTCCTAAGGAAATTCTTATTATATACTTAGGCAATTGTTCCTGTCCTGAATGTTGTGTAGTTTCACGCAAAGGATCATACACTGTCTAGGGCAATGAGTGCAAAAAGGACGATATCGCGTATGATCTGCCAGGAAAGGCTGTCACCGTTAGACAAATTGCAAAACGCTAGTTACATGTTCCACGCGTCGTTCAATGACCGCCATCGGTAAAAAGGCCGACAAGTCTGGTATAGTATTTATCGCGCGCTCAGGTGGTGGGGCTGTAAATTGTCCTCCCCCGAAGGTTTTGCCGGAATGGTTTTCGAGCGGCGCGGCCTAGCCGTGCCAAATTTTGCATGGATGGCCTGACATCAAAAATTTAGATGTACCTTGTAAGATCGCTGACCTATGACAGGTCAAATTCAGGCCATGGTTTCAGCGAAGGGAATTCCGAGGGAATTATTCAATATGATCCAGCAACGGAGTGTTAGACGAAGCCGTGCATCTCTGAGAAACTTTCTTAGGCAACATAACAATTGTATGAACAAATCACATCGACCTAGGGTCAGGTATGAATGTCAGACCAAAGTAAAAACCAACCTGTTTTGTTACTCTAGGGTTTGCTGTATGGGGCAGTTTTAGTCCTCATTTCGAATTTATTGATAAAAGGAACCGCATTATTCACCTTCCATGGACTTTGTAAATGTAAGAATAATTCACTGACCTAAAATGACCTAGGTCAACATTTTGTTTTTAGGAACATACTACCTAGCGTAATCTTTACATCTTATTCAAATGCAAAGCTCAAATCGGTCTTACATGATTTTGGTCACCATGACCTTCAAAAGGTCAAACAAGGTCACTGACATTATATGGGCATGTGACCTTTCGCTTAGAACAGTTATTTAGGTACTAGGGGTCCTTTGGAGACCTGCCTGGTATTTGACTTTGTTTGACCTTGTTTGACCGGAAAGTCGTGACTAAGGAACCTACAATTTCGACCTAAGTGAATTCACGTACAGTTCAATACACCCTGTGAATTTAGTATTTCTAGCTCTTATAGTGTCTGAGATCTCAGGGTGGTCAAATTGACCCCCACCCGAGCGAAGGGTATCCAACCGGGCACCCGTGCGCGTGTTAACACCCTTTACAATGATCTTCACTGAAGTGAACTGGTTGTCTACGTCATTTTTACAGGCGTTGCCTGGCATCGTGCATTTGGTTTGCTCTCAGTGTCAACAGGCATTAACTGGTATGCATCACACAGGCAAGAATTACATTAGAATCATCCAAGGATGCCTGGACAATCAACAAGCATTGGTGCATCGGACGTTGCCATGGTACGGCTTCCCTGTTATGCAAGTAAGCTTTGTCGTCGGCTTCCTGTGACGTTTGAGAGCGTTGGTGTCACGTCACACTGCCGTGGTTGGTGGTGCTGTTCATTATGTACAGAAGTTTGTTGTGAATATGTTAAAGTGTTGTAAAAAGCAGGCTGCAATCGTTCAAAAATTGCGGGTCTTTAACGCATTCCTTTTGCCTTTTCCGATGTCGATTTCGGTTGCAGAAAGAGACGCGTTGTCTTTATTCTGTTAAACTTATGTTAACACACGCTCGGGTGGGGGGTCAAATCGCCTCCCGAAGGTATTTTCAGAATGGTTTCCGAACGGCACGGCGTAGCCACGCCAAACTTTGCATAGCTGGAGATAATTGAATAGCAGACCATTTGGGAGAAAATTTAGATGCATCTTGGAAGGTCGCTGAACTACGGCAGGTCAAAGTCAGACCATGGTTTCGGCGAAGTCAATTTCTAGGGAATCGTTCAATCTGATGCAGCAACGGAGTGTTAGACGAAGCCATGCATCTCTGAAATGCTTTCTTAGACAACACAAATATTGAATGAATAAATTGCATTGACCTATGGTCAGGTATGAAGGTCAGACCATGGTCAAACCCAACCTGTTTTATTGCTCTAGGGCTTGCTGTATGGAA